CGACGATTTTCATCACAATAAAATACGCGAAATAGGGTTCTGCTCTGCTCTCATCCACGGAAGGAATAAAGCGGAATCCGAAACGCGCAAACAGTCCAATTGCGGTAACTCAAAGAGAATATTTTATCGTCAAAATCAAACCGGTATTCTAAAATTTAAGTGAGACGCGTCATGTTCGATCCGTGTAAAAGATTGATCCTTGTCTTTATTTGAATTGTTATTATCATCATAGGACCTTGCTCGGCGATCGTCCTCTAGCAGAGGTATACTTGGAACCGGGCACCGTGCAAAATCACAACCGCACTGTCCTAGACTGGCTCGGGGGGCGGATCATTCTCCTTGACACCCTCTCGAGATTGAATCATTACCTCCGTCTGTTCCTTGGTTAATTCGTGGTCCTTGGTAATTTCAAAATCTTGCTCGGCCAAGAAACTTCGACGAATAGCGCCATTCGCCACCGAGGACAAATCATTCCTCTGATGCTGCGTGTCCCGCCACGGTGTCGTCAGGATCTTTAACCTCTGATAAATTTACCGTTTAATGCATTTTCATGTCACGTCATTTTTGCATGTAACGAAAAACTAATTTTATCAAATATACAAAACTAAATAACTCGATAAGATGAATTATGAACTATTTCATGATTATATCTTCTTGATTAGTTTTTTTTTAGTTGACAGTAAATTAATTAATTAATTAATTAATAATAAAGTGTAATCCGATATATATTTAGATATAAATATCTCGATAGATTTAACGAAACTATAGTTTTATCAGGTAAGGTATAATATCTTAATTATATTTTTAATATAATATATAAGTATATATAAAATTAATTTTACATACGTTTTATCACAATTTTCAAATTGATTTTGTATAAATTATCACATTCAAGAAAAGAGTTATAAGTAAAATACTTACTTGAACGAAGGATCCGGGTGTGGTGATGATTTTGTAGATTGCCATACCTGGGATCATGACGATAGAAGAGCACGCGATCAGCCAGCCCAGTACATTTGCCCAAACCGGATAAACGTAACCTTCGTACGATAATGGTTCGTAGCCCATTAGACCGTAGACGATAATAAACTGTAATGTAGAAAGGAAAACAAACATTATATATATTTAATATTAAATAATGATAAGCACACCTTTCTATATAAATACATTCCCCCACACTGTGACGTACCATCAGAAAGAGTGGTGCTACGAATTTCCAGCATACGCGCCAGTAGACGCCGGGCCTGAATCCGATCATGTCTTTAATGTCGGCGCAAAATCGGTCTGTTCCGTAGATCCAACTGACCGCGATGGTTTCTGCCAGAACGGCAAACAGCATCGAGTATCCGGCCGCGTATCGATCCAACAAGTGGAAAAAGTAAAATCCGCCCTATATATTAAAAAACAATAATCTTTTTTTTATAATGCGAATACACGTACACATCACAGATATTGTTTCGCACAAATTTAACATAGTAACAAGCGTATTATATAATGCTCTCTAAAGCAAATTTTTTTTTAAATACCAAAAAAGAATCTTTTAAAAATCTTGCAAACCTTTTTAGACGATTTATTACATGCTTCTTATATTTATGTCTAAAAAATTTTACAAGAACTGAGCCAGAAATAATCAATATTAATTACATCAAAAATTTGTATAATTTAGCGTATCTACCTGCGAACAAGAGGCAAGTCCAACCAGAAAGTATAGAGTGAATAAGCATGCCACGAAAATCTCACGATTGTTGCCGATTATTGGAAACTCGTCGCTGAGTGCCGTTATAATCGCCTCCGAACCGCCGAACTATAAAATCACATTAATTCTCACCTTAATTTATTTGTTACGCTTAAACAAGGTATTTAATAATATTTCTATAAAGAAAAGATTTATTACATGTATATCGATTAATATAAAAGTTGTTACTTAAAAAAATAGTTTCATGAATCGTGACGCATTAACAACAATACATCGGAAGTCGTTATCGATTACAGGCAATTAAACAAATCAGACTGATTTTTGAAGTGAAAGTAGAAGAATCATACCGAGCTGTCCAAACCGAGTGTGAGTAACATCATGAAAAAGATGAGCGCCCAAAACATCGAACCGGGCATAGTGGCGATGGCTGCCGGATAGACGATAAAGACCAAACCTGGTCCTTCCGTAGCGACATCCTGGATGGATTTTCCGCTGGCATGGGCCATGTAACCGAGCACCGAAAATATAACGAATCCAGCGACGAAGGACGTCGCGCTGTTAATCAGGCTCGTCAATAGGGCGTCTCTGCGGAGGACATTCATGTAAAGAACGCACGGACGACGCGTTTTATTATACGTGCGTAAAAAGAAATTCAGTCTTACTTGTAAACATTGTTGTGATACTTGTTGTAACTCGCGTAAGCCAGCAAAACTCCGAATCCTGGTCCTAGAGAGAAAAATACCTGCGTCGCGGCGTCCACCCACACCTAAAAGGAAAAATAAAAGAACATACTCGCGAAAATGATAAAATATATTCCAATACTTTTCACGAAAAATATAATAAACGCCTAAGTATATTTATGTCAACTTTATTGTAATATAGCAATTTAAATTTTAATGAAAGGAAGATCTTTCTTTTCAATTTCAAATTTATTTATTTCAAGTTCTATATAAAAGGCAGTAAAATATTTAATTTACTTGTTTCTTTCACGGATTTAATCGATATTAAATATTTTGTTTTTATTTTGAGATTATCAATAACAATCAGAGTTCTAAGAATTTAAAGATATAGTTGACACTTTTTTATTATTTCAAACATTTCGTGAAATATTCACAAAATTCTCGTAAATTGCTATATCAAATAAATTAATTATAACGCATATTTATTATAACAAATAGAATAGAACGCATGTTTTTATAAAAAAGAAATAAATAAAAATTACAGATACACACTGTATTCGCGAGAAATCTGACGCTAGAGATGAGAGACGTAAAAGTATTTGAAGCGCGGGAAAAGAGAAGAGCATCAGCCTATACATCAGGCCGGCTTCTCGTATATTCACGGATTAACGGCGATCAACAAATCCATTTTCTCACCGATATAAAACCCACTTTAGCGAGGACGGTAAGCGGCTAAGTCGTCGTACGGCGAAATGCATTCCGCGCGCGAAGCACGAGGGTTGGCCGCGCGTTCTAACGTTCTGGCGCGTGCTCGACCAAACTCTAATGTTCATTATGACAGCTACACAGAGTTTCCATTTTCACCGTCGTCAGTTAACCCTGCACGTTTCTCCTCCCCCCTCATTTTCCCTTCCCTTCCCATACTACGACGTATCCAACCCCACCCTGGCTCGTCCAACCCGCTCGCCATCCTATAAACGCATTAACTCCCGAAGTTTTCTCCTTTTGTCACTGTCACGGATACGTCGTAGCTCATAGTAATCCAGGTCAACGATAACAAAACAATCGCCGCTGATGCCGATACTTCCCTCTCGTACGATTTTATTTAAAAATTCGTGCCCGGGTATTGTGAAGGAACTATTTTTCAACGTCTCGTTATGGAAGAATAATATAATTCATTATAATTCACAGCTAAATATAGCCTCAATATATTATATAGTTTTTAAAATTGTGTTATTTATCGCAAGATTTAATTATATAATTGAATAGAATTGTTCTTAAATTATTTAAATTCTATTAATTATTGTATTAATCTTTTATTCATCAATAACGATATTCCGTGCATATTATTTTTATTAAAGTTTGTTTAAAGTGCATTATTTTAATTTTAATAAAACATATTTATCTCAAGGTAATTGAATAGAATTGTTCTTAAATTATTTAAATTCTATTAATTATTGTATTAATCTTTTATTCATCAATTACAATATTCCGTGCATATTATTTTTATTAAAGTTTGTTTAAAGTGCAATATTTTAATTTTAATAAAACATATTTATCTCAAGAAAAAATAAATACATGACGAACGGACTAATTGTTTTTTTTTTTTAATCCTGAATATCCCAAGTATTTGCATAAGTATATAACATAAAATGCTACACGTACCTCTGCTTTCGTGATAGCGGTGAAATTTGGACTAAGATAATAACGGATCCCTTCGGTACTACCCGGCAGAGTGACACCCCTTATTAGCAAAATCAGCAAGACTGCATAAGGGAAGAGAGCGGTAAACCAGACCACCTGCAACAAAAGAATTGCTCGTCCTGGACTAGAATGCTATATGCATGTAAAATAGATAGCACTTGATGAAAGGAGCTCTGCTTGATACATAGAATGCAATGCTTCATTGTATGTCTTAAATCTTCGCGAAAAATCAAAGGTACTTTGCATAAATTGCTCGTCCGTCCTTAGAGCCTCGAATCTCTGACGAGGCATTCAGCTTACCTTGCCGGAAGTCGAGATGCCTTTCCACAGAGAAAAATAGCAGACCAGATAGACTACGAGCAAGCATAGCGTGATGTCCCACTTAATGGCTCCGAGATCATGTAAGCCCTCGCTTTCGTGCAGCTCCAAGATAGCGCGGCTTAAGGGAAAAAGTTTTGTAATTCATAAGGCTATTGTGCGTACGATTTATATAAAAAGAGATTTATATTCTATATTTAACAAGATTGCCTGCGCATTAGCAATGCCAATTGATACTCAATAATCCTTTGATAAGAGATTTAAAAAAAAATGTATATATATATGTATACATATATACATAAAATAAATATTGTATTTCATTAACGACTCTAAAATTTTCGACAAATGTTAACCGTGTTTGTTAACGCATTTTTATAGATGAAAACAAAGTATCGAAAGTCTACTTACTTGAAGTATTCATGCGCAGCGCTCGTATGGTTATCCTTTGGAGCAGCGTCCGATCTTTGATCGATCAAGAATCGGGTGACATTTCCAATATTCTCGTTTACCTCGTCGCTGGTCATTACATCCTCAAAAGCATACGAGATGTTCGCGTCTAATTCGCGACACAACGGCGTATTCCAAGGATTGTCGCACGTAGTCCATGGTAACATCGTGGAAAACGAGGCGAAGAAATATCGGAGCGACCAGGCGATGATAACGTTGTAGTAAAAGTCAACGTAAAACGCGATCAGGACGACCGCGTATCCGATACCTGATTAAGGACAATTCATGTTTTCATGCACCAAGCACACGATGACAAAGTTATTCTCTGTGAAAAAGCATTCGGTTTCTGTACTCTGTTTTTTCTTAAAATATATGTATAAATAAAAATTGCGAATTACCGGAGAAACCATTCGATTAACAGATTCGTTGTTATATAAAATTATTGTTCCCCCCTTTCCGTAAAATTTAAAGATCTATCAACTGCCAGAAAAATCAATCGTTAATTCTATTTCAATCGAAAATTTAAGGTGGCATACTCGTTTGAACCTTCGAACAATGAATACATTTTCTAGATTTTTTTGCAATACAACTATTTAATAAAATTTTTTTCTTTTAATAATATTAATATAATATTATTAACTATTTAAATAAATAAAAAAAAAAAAATAACGGTACCCCTTAAGTAAACTCACGATATAAAATAAAAAACAATTTTATCGAAAAAATTTCTCAATATTATTTCGAATCGTAATTCGTTGCAACTTTCTAATTGCGCGCGGTAACTTGATTTTAAAAAGTGCCACAAGAACCTAAGAGATTGTTAAATAGATTAGCGTGTGGTAATCGCAAAAAGGAAGGCGCGAAAAAAAAATTAGAATCACGTGCAGGAAACACGCTAGAAACGTGCCGTTTTTGTCTCGCGACGAGAGATATCATATCTCGCTCGCGAACGTGCATATCTTAAGTCCGCGCGTCTCTATGCAAATGACAACGTGACCTTCCTTCCGCGCGAGATCATGCATACGACGACGCACTACACGTGTATAGATATCCATCTGCCGCGGAGAATCGCGGAGGATCTCGATCGATCGTACGGCGATCAACGGAGAACAGAGGGGATAAGCGGGATGAAATTGTAGCCCCGTGGAAATGAAGTTGGAAATCGGTGGAAATGGAGGCTCTTTACGCGGAGAGCACCGTCGGGGGGCCGTCTCTCGCATCCCACTGCGCGCGCGATCTCCTCGGATTTATACGCGTTACGTAAAGCAACCGCGGTCACATACGAGAGAGAGAAAGAGAGATCTGCGAGGCCGCGTCTTATATATATATGTGCAATCGTATATATATGTATATGTACATGTGCACATATATTCTAGTCCATATATACTCCGCTCCGCTCTATTAGAGCGCTAAGAGTGGCGACGACGAACGACGGCTGGATTCCGTTTCGCCAAGATCGGGGGCCGCAAGATCGGGCAATTGTCCCCCGCGACTGGGAAAAGAGAGAAGGAGATCGAAAGAGACCGAGAAGTCAGAGAAGCCAACTTCTAACTCGGAATACCAATATCCCTCGAGAGAGTGACGAGATCTGGGGAGCGACGCGGGAGAATATAATGAGAGTAAAGAGGGTCGTTCCGGCTCTTAAGTTCTCGAGGCTTTTCCGGACTGTATTCGCGGATTTCTTCCTTCACCCCGTCGTAGTATATTTTCACCTGTTGTATAGTCGCCGTGAGTACGTTCAATGGTCGGCGATGGTCGTTACTTACCGCGAGAAGCTATAAACTTTAAATGTATCCTAATGTGATATAGAATGATATAAAGAAGTATGAAATAAATGGTGAGTTTCATCGATAATCGTTAAGTTTAATCGCGCTTTGTGTGAGTGTATATTTTTTTACTTTTATTCTAGAGAATTAGAATTAACAAGAAAAAAAATGAGAACTCTGGCTATTGATAAATTGATATCTGCTCGTACTTATGTCATTGTGTCGTCGGACGCTATTACTGTCATAAGGTTCAATTTTCGCGCTTTCGAGATTGCCCGGATGATGATTACAGCGATGATATAAGGGTTTTGTAACATGATTTTGTAACTTATCGAATAATTTCGTTCAATTTGCAAGTGCATCACTATTCGAATATGCAATATAAGTTAATCTATCTCCGTTGTTACGTCGAGAGAGGGTCCAATTAAGATAGATACGACCTCAGTTTCTCGCGTTAAAACATAAAATAGACGATTAGATAATTGAAGATGAAGCATCGGGTAAGCATACTTGAAATATTTTTAAATCTATCTATGCTATCTGTGCATTTTTATTTTTACTTAGCTTCGCCTAGTAATTTCAGAGATTTGTGAAGAATTAGATTAAAGAGAATATGTCGCATGAATAATAATCTGAATTCACTTACCTTTGAGAAGCGGCACAAGTCGACCCCAGCACGTGATAGCACCCTTTCTGTTAAACTGACCAAGTGCAAGCTCCATGTAAAACAGAGGAATACCGCCGACCACCAACATCACGCAATAGGGGACCAAAAATGCGCCTGTAAACAGAGAAATATGTGCACAGATATAAATATGTAAACAAATATCAATTTAAAATAGATACACATTAATGATTTTTCGCGTTAAAACACGGAAACAATCTATTCAAAAATTAAATAAATGATTAAGAATAAGCATATTTGACATACTCTAACTTCAAAACAATATAATGTAATAGATTTTCCATACTTGGCTTACTTTATTAATTTTATATTGTAAATATATGTGTATCAATATATATGTGATAACAATTATTATTTTCGATAAAACTTTTATTAGAAATATAATCGCAATAATTCATCGAATTTTGATCCTCAGCCAATATTAACATCTTCAATTAACATTGAATCATAATAATGCGATTCTATCTAATGACTGTATTCCAACTTTTCGACATAAGTCGATCAAATGAAATCCGATTATTCTTCTGTCCATCGGTTTTGTCCATTAAAGAGAATGGGTCTTGCAGAAAATCTTTGAATATTAAGACAAGAGCCTTTTGTACGACGGGGCAGGACGATTATTGTGCGATCTAGAAAGCGGGAGTAAAAGAGAAAGAAAAGGTGTTGATATCCGGGAAAAAGGCATTCGTACAAGAAGAAAAAAAAATTACGAGACGAACAAATTAGAGAATAGAGATTTTCAAGTATGTAGCCACAAAGAGAAAAACTTCTAAAGAGTTATTAGCGCATATCGTAGCACATTTTTAGACGTCAAAATAATTTAGATTACAAAACTCCACGTCAAAAAATTATGATATAAAACTTGGAGATCTTTTTGACATAATTAAACGTGCAAAATAAAAACTGAAAATTATTTTGCTGTCAACAATGTCTAGTGATAATAACGTAATATATTTCTTAATTAAACAGCGCTAAAATTAATAATATATATATATTTTTGTGTAATAATAATATATTATTATTACACAAAAATATACATGTATATAATTTCAATAATAATTACAAAAATAAAAATCAGATTTTATTTATGTTCTCCTTCTTTCTCTGAGAGTCTTATTATTCCCTAAGCAATTAAATCATTCTAATTTCAAGTTCATTTCTACAAAAGGAAAAATCGTAATTACAAATATTTTTAAAAAATTGTCACATATTTTTGGAAAAGGGCTAGCACAGTTCCTGTGGGCTTGACGATCGACTCAGTCGTGTCACCATGTTAATGTCACCTTGCCGCATTTCCGAAAGTTGACTATCGAATTACGTGCCTAAAAGCACCTCGCTACCGGTGCTCTAAATAACGCACAATGCAGTTATGGAACTAACCCGCTGGTATGAGTGCGTCACATATCGCATTTTTTCACCGGTTTCTCTCTGAGCGGCATGTGTTATCTTTCTGCCTATATACTAGCTTCTTTATATAATATGGATCGCGCAAATTTGCAGAATCCCAACGGCTTTCCAAAAGGGCGGAGTGATTTTATTATGCGGCACTCGCGAATCAATATATCATATAGAATAAAAGAATAATAATTAAATTATATATTCATGCGTGTGTGCGTTATTTAAAGTATTGCAATCAGGATATTTAGAAAAAATTTTTTTTTTTTTGATATTAGCATATGACTATATTTTTTATGGACTACGAGAAATTTTTAAAATATAATTCCTTGAGATCTGTGTGTAAAGATAAAAAAATTACTAAAATATTCAGAAATATACTTAAACACAAAAAAAAATTTTTTTTCAAGCAACTATAGCATTTAACATATAAAATATCTAAATATGTATTTATGTTAATTTTGCGCGTCGAATTGTCAATTAATGATCACAACTTTTTTATAGAAGTTGGTAATCATTTCTCATATAATCATGATCTAATTTTTTAATATGAGGAATTTTATTAAATAATATCGTTATATTGTTCACGTTGCATAAATAAGTGTAACAGGATAAACGCAATCCGAAAGAGAAGAATAAGACTATCATGCTTATTTCCTTGATCTCCCTTCTTAGCTTCGACGGAACTTTCGTTCCGTACCTATGGAGATGTAATCGCATTAAGAAGGATATTGTCGTTGAGTAACCTTGATTAATTTCCTCTTGTTCCTGCCTTGACAGAAATCGACCAATCGATCGTATTAAAAATCGTATTCTTTTAAATAGACCGCTCGTCGCCGAATGGTTTCATTATAAAATATATTACAATATATTCTATACAAATAGAAATATTATATAACATTCATTTTCCCGCTAATATATTTACATATAGCATCCATATTATGTTTAAATAATTTACGCGTTATTTAAAAATAAAATCTGCTCTTATTTTATGCAGTTTCAACTTTTATATACGCTCTCAATGTTTGATACAATATCGAAATCAATTTATATATATGATATTATATATATGAAAAATTGATCATTTATAAGATTTATATTAAAGTATTAAAAGATTCTTTTAAAAAAATTTGAAGTTTGCGCATATATATTACTTATAATAATTTTTATATCTTACACAGGAAGATGAATTCGCCAAAGGTCAAAGAATTGACAAAAATTATCTCAGATCTAGAACATATCCCTTTCTTTCTATTTCTCTTTTGTCTTGACATGTCGCTAACGTCGAGAACAAACGTCCGGCCTCGGACAACAGTTCCGCTCAATTTTCTTTCTTTGAACGCGAGCGTGCACTCGCGCAAAGGCTTAGTGCTTAAAGCTGCATTTTACGCCCGAATAAAGGTGAAAAGCTCGTTCGAATGAAACGTAATGCATTCTCGCGAGATAATCGCACCAATTGTAGAACGTCGATCGGAATACGCTTTTATCAAAAGGTATACGAGGGTCTGAGTTGCTGGTGTTGATGCTGTCTGATGACGAAAGTCGACATGCATTATTTTGAATAAACGAGTATCTCTTAAAAATATAAGTATTTTAAATATCGCATCCACACATAATGTTTTCACACACATATTGTGAGACATCTAAAATTTATGTAAAAATAGATTAACTTGAGAAATTCTCGAATAAGAAATCTATACGGAATTTTTATGCAAAATTATGAAATTTCTGCGAAAAGTATTGTATAAATTAGAACACTGACATAATATTAAGTAAAATGAATTTAAAAAAAAAATACAATCTTTTCAAAAAAAAAATTTTTGTGATAACACGTTAATGTTAGTCTACCTCTTCGAACACATGTCGGCATCTATTATTTTTCTGCTTTACGATAAATTATATTCCATCGTTGTAACAGTTACACACCTACGCTACGTTAGAAAAAAATTGCACTTTGTATAAAAAACTACAATGTCAATGTCTCTCCTGTTGACAATCGATTCTCTCATATGTAACATTATATCAGACTATTAGATACTCGTCGATTGAGTAATCTGTATTGATATATCAAACCGGTTTAGAATTTCAATTAGCATTTATACGAATAATGTTTACAAAACCGGAATATTATCCGGAAAACCGGATAATTCGTTTAGAATCTTACAAAAAAAAGTTTCCACGAAGAGATCGTCCTCGTGTGACGAAATAAACGAGCAATTCGATGAATCCCAAACGAAGAGCATCTGGCGCAACAGGCGTCGTGCAATAATTAAGCAAACACGTTATAGAACAGGTTTCGTGATTGTGGCATTCGACGATAAACATTCTGTGTTCCGTTTTATTTTCGATTTTGTTTTCTCAATGAAAATACGTAGACGATAATCTCGCATTTTCACTCTTTATATTTCTCTCTAAAAAATAATTAAACATATTTAATCTACTAAAATATAAACATACAAAAATTTAAAAACATAAATATCATCAAATATATGTTATAAATATTTTAAATTAATAATTTTCTTCTAATATAATGACAAATATCAACTTATTTTATATTAAAAATCAATGGAAAAACTTATCATAATTTTCTCTATAATTTTCTCGCAAACAGTTTATACAGGTTTCAATCACGTACGAACATCATTTTAGCGCAATTGCTTATATTATCCAATGCACTTCCGATTATGCAGATTTATTTCAGTTTACTCAGAATCGCGCGAGGGGAGGTGCGAGAGGACGTTACGCGCACGTCGTCGTACAAGACAACCATTGTCGAAGTATCGTGACAGACAGGATGGTATGTCACAGGATGATACGTATCGATACGTACGCGCTTCGCTCTGAATTATAATCACGAAACAACACGTTAATAACGCTTCCCGTAGGGTGATAACGACGCAGCCGCCGTCCGGCGGGGTGGAGAGCGGCGTCGCGCACGTCCATGATCAAAGGCCCGTCCCGAATGGGAAATTATAATTAATTAAGGTAATTGGAAATTAGCGACCGATCTTGCCCATCCTAATGGCGCGGAGCCGCGCGCTCTACTCCGCTCTTAATTGAGTTAGCAGCCGCTTTTGAGGAGCCTCTGTATCACTGACAGCGGCCTTAATCGCATTCCTACCGGGGACTCGGTAGAGCCCCCGGTACTAATGGCGCCGTCGTCGCAGATTGCCACAGCGAGCTTAACAAAAGTCAATAAGATTGCTCGATTTTCCAAGATCGAGCCCTAGATGCGGGCACAGATTGATCTTCAAGAGCAAAGAGCAAGTGGTTCGTGAAAGAAGTGAAACAATATGATAATCGAGTAGCTTACGTCAATTCGAGACGAGGATAAACGCAGGTGTATTTTAATTGTGTACAGTGTCATCATCACGTGGTTTATAAATTTTATGCAGAGTGCATTTGAAAAGGATATATAAACTAGTCGTTTTTTCCTCTCTTTTCCTGTGTGTGAGATGGGCTCTTCTCTTTTCTTAAGATTCAAACCGGGATTAGAATTATTCAACGTCAAAAAATTAAGAGATTTCGCTGGATAAAAGTTTTGCAAATCAAGTAAACATTATTTTTCATATAATTCTAAAAAGTGATTTAAATTTCAGATTTTTAGTTGCAAAAATATTTGATGAAGTGTCTCGCATGTATTTAATTAAATATTTGCCAAGAAAAATTTTTATCTCTGATTTTAACGAAACGAATATACCGAATTATCGATTTGAGAAAATTTTTCGACAACTTTCGCGAACGATTTTGTACGATATACCGTTTATTCCTTGCATTTTATTTCTTACCGTCCTTGGCTCGCATTGCGATTATTATTATTTGGTCCATATTATCTTAACGTTATAGATATGATAATTTATGTTCAAAGATGTTGAGATAGCCGCAACTTCGTTTATAGGCGACTTTTAAACGCCTTTAATTAATTTCCTAATCGCGCGTCGTAACAATAATTTATGATGCACTAAGATTAAAATTATATCAATTGCAAATAAAATATTGTTCGCGTGATTATGTTTCGAATTATTATTATTTAATATATTATATCTTTGAAAATCTTTGTGCACAGAATCATCATCGTAAATTTCTTTCCTTTGCACGATTTAAATAGAGTCAATACAATAATTATTTTATATTACATTAAATATAATTGACTAAAAAATTGTTTTATTTACATATTATTTTTGCAGATTAACAAATATTTGCTTGACAGCCCGTGACCGCCGCATATAGTTGAAAAAAAAAAAATTTTTTTTGATTGAACATTTTTTTTTTCTCAGTGTACTAACGTTAACCGACAGTTTTTTTTGCATTATCTCGAGACTTGTTATGTAAATTCATAATATTAGTGTCCAAAGTACGATAAGAAAGAGTGCATGGATATTTACGTGCACACCTACGACGTATGAATTACAAAATTTGCATGTGCAAGCAACATGATTGGCATGCAGTATCGATGGGATATCGTCATGTTTTGGTGCATGACATGCATGTAATGAAATCATTAACTGACTCGTGAAATAAATCTCACAGTAAGCTATAAAATTAAAACAAAGTTTACGCGTGCGACGTTACTCATAGTTGAACGTAACGCTTTTTTGTTCTTCTTTCTCGGAAGTGGTCTTAATCAGAATCCTCATTAAAGGAGGTAAGTCACTTGAAGCAGAAGCGGCATTCTAACGACAACCGCGTAATTTTAATTGCTCTCGCACTGTGAAAAAGGGATTAATATCATTGTTGCGCGCTGTGATTTACGCCGCGTCCTGTAAATTACATATCTTCCCTTTAATTATAACCAATTTGAACACCTACAGGTGTGGCGCTCTCGCCTGTCGAGGATCCTTGTCGAGCGGGGTCTAAATCCCGAGGTCATTTTCCGCGAGGTAAATGCCAATTAGTCAACCGGTTAGCCTGGTATTGCTCGCCTGCCGGAGTACATTACTTGACGACGCGACGCGCGTAACACTCAACCTTCCCAAGTTAACTGCGAAATAACGTCCGACGACGATGAAGCAGTTGACGAAGTTTGCCCCGCGTGACAAGGATATCGAAGGGGAGCGAGATGAGAAAGGTCTCTGTTACGCGAAATTTGAAAAAAAAGAAAAAAAAAACAGAAAATGTCAAAAGTGGAATTGGAGGAGAAAGAATGTGAACTTTTTATAATTACTCAATTTTATTATATATCTCCCTCGTGGAATTAATTTCGAATTTAAGCTCATCCGAGAACGATACCTAATCGTAGCGACGTCAATGACGTGAACGTTAAACAAGCGATTCCTAATATGATGTAAGTAAGAAATTTATAATTGTACGATCCGAGAGAATTCATTAATCGATAAATTAATCGATTCTTCGTCTCAGCTTTAGAAAGACAAAAAATTGGAATCAAAATGAAACATAATTGACATAGCAAAACCGATTGTAATTCCGACGAACGTGGCTCTTATTCTATATTTCTCTGACGTGAAAAAACAAAGCGTAAATAAGTAATATCGCGAGCAATGATGCGAAGAAATTACGATGTTCGAGAAGCGAGCGGGAAACGTCTAATTAGGCATGCACGACGAAACTGTAGCTTGTAACAGACGTAGATGGAAGGAAGAAGGGGGAAGAAGGGGGATGGGGTGTGAAAGGGCGGGATTATTGAAATCGTATTCCTGCCGCCGCGCGTCCCGTCAATGACAGAGAGAAGCACACTCGACACACTCGCGGGATAATCGAAAATAAATCGCGCGGAAATCGTTGCGGCCGTGCCGCGTCGATGCGACATGCACTTACCACCACCGTTCTTGTAGCAAAGGTACGGGAATCGCCATACATTGGCGAGATCGACGGCGAAACCGATAACCGAGAGCAAGAAATCCAGCTTCCCCGACCAAGTTTCCCTGCCGTCGCCGCCGTCGCCGTCGTCGCCGCCGCCGCCACCGCCGCCGCCGCCGCCGCCCTTCACGACATTCTTCACCACCGTCAACGACATCCTTCGGATATCTGAAACAGCACAGCGTGTATTAGTTTTGCGATAAAAATATGTAGAATCTCCGTCTTCAAGGAACGTATATTTCTTTTGCAAAAGATGCATTTGTATTAGCATCACGTTTGTAACTTTGTATTCAGGTGAAGGTTCAGGTAGAGATTTAGATGTGAAGACTTATGCAACGTATATTAGCATAGCAAAAGCCGCTAATAATTTACTATTTAAAATGATAACAAAAATTATAATATTGTTAGTGCATTGTATTCGGCAACATAGATTGTGTCCTACATCATCTTCTTGTCCGCATTTTTTAAAATATAAAGAAATACTTTCGAATCGACTCTTTTACCGAAGGCTCCTAATACCTTACTATTAAATTGCGACATTAAAAACGAAAAATTGGAAACGTTCTCTTGCACTAACTTACGAAACAAATTAATTTTTTGCGCGTGCCATCATTTGTATAAGATAATTGTATAAGAACTAGAAGAAGATAATTACGAAATTTGCAATCTTGAGCCTACAATCATGATCACAAAGAAATAATCGAATGAGAAGTTAAAAAAAATATTACCTTTTACTTTAGTGTAGAATAAAAAAAAAATATTAACAAATAAATTTCTCCGAAAGAGTTAAAGATGTAAATAAAATTCCCTCTTAAAAGCAGAAGTTTTGAATTATATGCAACTAAACAACATGAACATAATATTTAAATTATGATTCACGAGTGCATGTTTATCACTTGCATAATTAAGCACAAGGTCGCGAATGTGCGAGATGTGAAAGGAGTTGAGCGAAAGGAAGGCATAGCAGGTAGAAGCGAAGATTGTGAAGTGGGAGAAGAACGCATGACGTTAACGCAACAGAAAGGAAATTGTCCCCGTGCGGTTATTATATTATTATTATTATTATTCGCGAACAATATATGTATATTGTATGTTTGTGTGTGTATGAGAGAGAACGTCGCGTGCGCGGCGCGGGCGTGTAATTTGGCGACGACAAGTTATCGATAGCCCTTCAGGCGACAACGCTCGACCCCCAACGAGCCTCATTGTGCCCCGTGACGGGTACCGGTCAAACAGCGTATATTTCAAAGGCGATCGCGGGCGATCCGGCCTCGAGGGGCCACTCGACGACGGGTTTTCTGTCACGCGCACTGATCCACGCTTATCCACGCGGACCGACCCGGTTAATTGATATTCGGCGGTTGCGGAGACACCTACGAACGCGCAAGCCGACGCAAAGATATGGACGACGACGAAAAATCGCGCTGCATGCCGTCAACGCGAACGAGATCGATCGCTCTCGCTTCCGTCATGACATCGGAGGCTGAACCGATTCGCTAAACGCGACTTGACATGGGACTGAGAGAAGAGAGAGACTAAATCAAAAAAGAAATATTAATAAATTTAAAATAAATAATAAATTGAAATCTGATTTAATGAAGTTTTTGTTTAAATGAATGCGATATCACAGTATTTGCTAATCATTTATGTACCTCAGTTAATTTTGCGCACCCAGAAAATTTTTGCTGTAGTTGCAATACCACTTTTTTGAGTGAAATAAATTGGAATATATATCTAAGGAAAGACATGTCTAATAAAAAGTTGATTTCTTAATTTGATATATATTTTTACTTGACTTTTAATAAAAGTTTTTTTCAAAATTTTGAGTATTTAAATTTTAATTGATATTTAAAATCTATCAAAAAATCGATATGTAACACATTAAAAAAAATAATACATTTTTTAAAATAAAAGTATTGAATTATTTAGCAGTATTTCTTAATTGCTCAATCTCATTAATGTATCATATTAAATTTATTCTATTATTTATCTATCTGCTATAATTATATAGTGCTTTTCTCATAAAGGAAGAAAAGGGTAAAATGCATTATCCAAGATTCTTCTCTCTTGAAGCGTGAAAGACGATATTTCGGTCGAAATATTACCAGTCGCTAACGAGTATTCCGAAACTAGTTTTAGCGGGGATATAATAACTGAAGGAGAAGGAAAAGGATGAGTAGAAAAGGAGCGACAACAATGTCATATTCTCTGGAAATCGAATTCCTGCCGACGTATTCTTATAGGGCATAGGGAGAGACCCATCGCGTCGATATTTATCCGGTGATTGATCTTTCCCCGCCGCCAATGAATCCGAGTTTCCAAGGAAATACGACGAATTAATAACTGTGCAATTATTGTGCAATTACAATTGAATAATAAAGATAACAAACCAATAATGTATGCATGCACGTACGAAGATAGATGAGGGAAACCGCAATGACGCAAATTGCCCGTCGCAGAAATTCACACTTTTTTCGACACTCGCGTTTATAGATTCAAACTAGACACATTTTAATTCTTGTGTTAACGTAACACGTGCTCCTAATTGATATGATGTGATCTCTTGAAAAAACACATTTTTGTTTTGTTGATAATAATGTAAACGAATTACAAAAAAGCGCAAAATAGCGTAGAAAGATTTGCTAAAGAGAGATATCAATTTTTTATTTTGTTTCACTTTTTCCTTCATATTCTGTTTCCTTTTATATAAATATGTATAAGATTTCTTAAGATAAATTAAAAATATCGATTATTTTCTCTTAAACAGGATTACATTTCTATATTATTTCATGACGTTATATTTTTGGTAATTTACGCAAATATCTTACGACAGCATTGACTCATGCTCTTTAGGATTGCTTGCATAGCTATTTATTATTATAAATGTTTTATCGATATCTGAATCAAAACAAACACGTGTCAGTTTTTCCTGGGTAGAAACAGTTGCATATGAAGAAATAGATGAATATGAAGAAATACAATTTTGATACATTATCTTAAACATTCACGAAACATGATAAGTGTCCATCTAACTTTCTACTTCAAAAAATTACGTGTAAAATTAATGCAGATGAATGTACTGATGAAAACCGGTTCAATAAAATTATGTGTGTGTGTGTGTGTGTGTGCTTATATTTTTTCAAAAAATATTAAACACAAAACCTTTACTATCTTTACCGGTTTCATTGATGCATCTACTTTTTATACTTCAAATTTTGACGTACTACAGCATTAGGTTACTTTAAAAATTTCGAATTATTTATGCATCAATTTGTTGTTTAAAAAATAATAGTTCGTTTTATTGAAGGAAATAAGAATAAACAAAATTAGAAATATCAATCTTACAATTAGTTGTCAATTAGCTATCAATCTTATTTCCGACTAATACTTACTTTAACAGCTATAACAGTACGTAATTATAAATTCTTACAAAATAAGATCTTTTTCTAAATATATATCTCAACACTTTATGCAAATGTCTATACTTTTTAAATCAATCAGATGTTTTCTCGATAAATATTTACCAAGTATAATGTCAACAATAAAAAATTGCGACTATTATTCTTAGACTCTTCACACAACACTTGTCATAACTTTCATGATTACGACTCTATTTCAATTCTACAATACGCTTAAATAAGAGATATCCCGCACGTTTGTTTAATTTGAAAATCTCGGCTTAATTATCTTTATCGTGAATGTCTATGATGCATTAAATTGTAGACAAAAAAGATATATTAAAGCCGCAAGAATGTCATAGTTCATGTACGCTCCATGTATATTCCACGCTTAAGATAATCCCGATTTATGTTATTTAAAAAAATAATGCGCGCGAAATGTGAAATAATCTTTTCGCGCAACAAATATGATCCTTATTACATTCTTATTACTCTCTCGCTGCACGATATTTCGTAATTAACCCATACTCGCATATACATACATATGTATATTAATTACGAGATGTCTCATAAAGGATATTTCTCATTTCATTAAAAAAAAAAAAAAATGTAAATGCGTAAGTCTTTTTTTCATGCGTCAATTGTTTACGATATTATTCACATCGCATTGTTCGCATCGAAAATTTCGTAATGAGGAAAGAAAATCTTTTTCGTGTTAATCACTAGATTTCTCATATCTAATTTTATGTATCAAAACAACATGATAAATCATTAAAAAAATATTTATATTATATTAAGAAATAAACGGAAAAAAGAAAAAAAAGAAATATATATATATATAATACTATATTATATTATATTATTAAATTTTGTCGTCGTTTAAAAATAAAACACTAAATATTTTTGCATAGCAGCAAAAGGATTCGCTATATCTTTGGCAAGAAATCGTGTGAAAAAAAAGACATACCGCGATAGCCTTTCCCCGTCTTGAGTACGCAAGGGCAACCACCTTCGTTCTCTTCCTCGACGTAAGAATTCGCGGAGGAAAAACCCGCGATCGAACGCGACTCAAGTCAAACGATGATAGACTAACTACTCGCGATCGTGTGCAGCTCCGTTCAGATCGTGTGTTTAAATGATGGTAACATAACGTGATCGGCGAATATATCGATAGTGGGAGAAGAGATCCGTCGGAGGTACACAAAGAATAATTTAGGTGGGAGGGTTTTCTACGAACGTAGAGTTTTCTATGAACTATGCGAATATAATATTATTAAATTTCTTTTAAACAACAATTGGATCGTCGAATCGGCATTCGGCTTGACTAATATCAACACGTTCGAGAAATAATGAACTTACTTAAGGAGCGCTGACTTATCAATACTTCGGCTTCGATTTTTGATTTCTTTCGATAGAAATACGTGTCGAAAAAAGTCGAAAGCATTTCGAGAAATACTAGCATCATGCATTTATTGCGAAATTGATTATCGCGAAATTCAAATGATTAAGATATATATAATTTCTTTGGCACATATTTTGATCTCTTTTAACCTTTAAATTTCTTTTTAATTATATTAGAATGACGTCAATCAATATATATAATATTGCCCAATCCTCTGATATATAAAATAATAATATAATAAATTATTATAATTAAATAAAAAATCTGTAGTAAAAAAGGATTAAAAACGATCAGGCTGCTAAATTATTTATAGATGATATATCATATGTATTTGTTACATGTAACATTTTTTTATTTAACCGCAGAATATTCAACGCCCCAAAAATTCATGGATAAAAGAAAAATTTTTTAAAATAATTATTTTATAATGAAACAAAAGCATGAAAAGAAAGCTATAATGCTGATATAATGTAAAATCTTAAAAAATTCAACGTTTGATTGTACGATCTATTGAAAATGCGTAGATAGATCTGAAAGTGTTATACAATGGATCTCAAGGAAGTCTTAAAATTATTTCAGTGTGTTGATAAAATCTAAATGCGTATCGAACAGGAAAAATCCGATAAATATAAAAGTGACAGAAGACTAAAAAAAAAAACAAATAAATAAAATCCGCACATTTTTACATTATACACACATTATTCGAAATTCTGCAAATACTAACAATAAAAAAGATCTCTTTAACATACAACTCTACAACTCTGGCTTATTATAATCAATTACCTAGAGAGAATACGCTTCTAAAGAATAGAAAAAAAAAGCGCAATGAAAATTACTATCATCGTCCGAAGGCTGCGTATCCGTTTCCGGAAACGGCAGGCTTCGTCCTTCGATCTTATCCGATAGAGTTTAAGATCAAATGACGTACGATAGATACGTAAAAAGAAACACTTACCGAGTATCACGCCGAGAACGATTAACGAGCGACGGTGTCGCCGTGAATGTTGCAGCTCGGCGAGACCCCGCGACACTGACCGCGCGGCTCCTCAGTCCACGGCAGGACTCCCACGACGAAGACTCGCCACAGGGTCAAGAGTAGCTCGAAACTGGTATCCGTCAGACCCATGCCCGTTTCGTCGTCCCTTGTCTTTCCTCTCCTCGAGCCTCTCCCACCCCCGCGTCGTATTTTACAGGGACTCTCTTTCGAAATCTCCCGCGGAAGATCTTTCTTCCTAACGTTATCGTATATGCGAACAAGTCGAACGATGATCTCGAAGACGCGCGTGGGTCAGATTCCTCTCTCAGGCGGATCGCGCAAGCCACCCGCGTCGTTCCGCTCGCGAGAGCTCGCGCATTTTAAGATGAGGGTACTCTCGCGGGGAAACGATAGCGAAAGAGCGCGATCAGAGACGGACTTCGGTTTTTTCGAGACGCTCCGAATCCATTCTCATCGCATATATTGCGCGCGTGAGAAAGATCGCGTTCCTTACCTTCGTTCTCTCTCGATCGCGCGAGATCAATCGAACGGGCCGCTGACAGGAGGATAATACGGCGAAAAGGAGAGCTCGAGAGGGGGTGCAATCGGGGATGCCGATGGTATGTATCTCTCCGGCACAAACGGGAGAACCTTGTCGCAAAGGACCGAAAGAGTAAGTGGCGAATTTTAGCGCCCGTCGACGCGTATATACGCGCCTCGGTCACGTGTCGTTCGCGGCCGCGGTCACGTGACGTCACGTCAACCGCTGCGCGCGCGCTGTCACTAGATACGAGATATACTTCGCGGGCGCGCGATATTATGTATTAACTTCACGCATATCGTACATGATACACGTTGCATTTTTTACTTTTTTTTTGTGCACGTTTGCAACCAAGTAATTTGCATCTCTAGCGAAATCAGAGTCTGGGTAATTTTCCATTCTGGCAAGAAATTAAGATCGAATAATTTTGGTCTCATCAGCAAAATCAAATCAATTTTTTTTGTAAGATGGTCTTTTTTTTGTAAGGTGCCTATCCAAAATATTATTAGCTTTCGTTTCCTGAAAATGTAGATTCGTCATTGCCTATCAGTGCAGATGCAATTGTCAATTGCAATAGAATCTTAATATAATGATGATTATTAATTTTATCAATTTATAATAACTGATTTCATCATCAGTTTCCTCAAGATAAATATCCATTAAACTGTTAATTGCATTTTTATCTGCCGATATCAACAATTGTTAAATTACTTCCGCGCTTAGTATCTCATTAAAAATCAATAAATCACTGACATGACATTTATATCTACCGATTATTAAGTGATTGAAGTAAACTGTTATTTTTATAATATGATATACAAGCGTAAAAAATGTAAGAAAATTGTTAGAAAGAAAAGTATATTAATTATTTCGTGTTCTCGGATTTTAGTGATTCCTTTATTAGCCTCAAAGAACTATTTTTTTTTTACTCTACATATGAATAACTTCTTTCTTAAAAAAAAAATAACATTTGTGAATGATTATTTGTAACTCATTAACTTATTATGAAACTCTTATTTGATAAAAAATACCTCGTTTTTATAACATTCTGTTGTAACAGTCTACTTCTTTTGGATTTCCGTCCGTTAGGGAAAAAGATATGTATCGCGCAAAAAGCGATCTGACAATGAAAAGAAAATCTTCTAGATGGCGAGTTTGAAAATAGCGTCCCGCGCGCCGAGCCCGACGATTGGTCGATCGCGTGCGCCAATCCCGTGCGATTATGAATGCACATTTACGAACGCGCCTCACAGTGATGCCAGTTTCGAGACGCTGCCACATGCCACATCGTGTAGAGGGGATAACGCACACAAGCGTGAACCGTGTACATGTAATGTATGATATGAACGCTCCGCGCATGACATGTACACGGTTCACGCTTGTTGCGTTATCCCCTCTACACGCTGTGGCTGTGGCAGCGTCTCGAAACTGGCATCACTGGCCTCAACGTCTCAACGTATGTACATAACATGACCGAAGACTATGAAACCATAATGGCCGGAATGGCTGGATCGAGAGTAATTACGGCATAACGTCCAAATTGCGTCCTGCAGTGCCCACAGCTGTCTCACGTCACGCAGTCATAATCCGCTTTTCCGTCTGTTCTGTCACGGTGAGTATTTCGTCTCGAGTTTCGATAAGACTTTCCCCCTCCTCCCAGAATTGTCGATTATATCTTTTTTTTTTTTTACCAATGTGACGTTAATGTCAACGTTATCGTCAACAAGTGATAAATTGTGATCGAATTTCGAGCGAGTCTGCCGTGTTTTGTTTTTATTATCATTACTAATTTGTTACAATCTCTTGGAATATGTCATAGCCATTATCTCGAAAGCGACGCGCCTCGCGTTGCCATACGGACATAGCTTTTTTTTTCTCGTCATTTAGAAATTGTCACGCTTTAACGCGAAAATTGTATATATGCAGAGAGGAAAAAAGGCGTGCGAATGAAATTGTCCGTGCGGAAAATTTCGATGCGACAAAGATGACTTCTCGACTTGTCTATATAGTACAATATTATGACAGATGACGATATATATACTCTCGTATATGCGATAAAATTTCGACAGATTAATCGGTCGACATGCGAGGATATTATTACTGTCATCTCGAAGCTCGAACGGTTCTCGCGTAAGCCACTTCGTATTTTTGCGTTTCGTCATCTACCACTTTAATAAGCGGCTGTTCGATTAAGCTACATCAATAACAAGTGTTTATGCTCCCAATAAAAATCTCAATGATCTCAATTGATACTCAACAAGATCGAAGATTCATGTTATTTTATTACAGTCCTAATATGTATATATATTTATAATTAGCTGTTCAATTCTGTAAATATCGATATTTATATTTTTTTGTAATTTATACTAATTTATTGTATTTTGATACATTTTTTACATACTTTTGCGATTTGTGAAATTTATATCTGAACATTCTATCTCAAATTCTCATATTTAGAAACTCTTCCAATTTTAACGCAATAATTATATATAAAATTTAAAAAAAAAATATATATATATAATATAATTATATATTATTAAATGAAAGAAAAAGAGAGAAATAAATTTTAATTTCCAATAATCTCGAAGCAACAAGAAAAGCAAATATACTGCGACTTTTTGTATAAAAGTCATCGTTATATTTTTATCTTCTACATGAAACATAAGATATTATCTTACCAAACAAATAAATATACTCTTTCGGTCAAGAGAAAACAAAGTACGTTGCTATATTTAAATTATTAGAAATGATAAAGCTCACGAAATATCATAAAATGTACATGACACTATAATACTATATATATATGGGCAATAAATGGTATTTTAATTCGAGTCCTTGGTGGTTGCATTGATAATCTACATATTCGCAATATTTGCATTGCAAGGTATTTTAAAATAATCGTACCCATATGTGTCATTAAAGATAAGAAAGTCAGGTAGTTCATTTCCTCTTCCTCTTCCTCCAATTTAACGCTGCGAATAATTACTCGCATTATGTGGGATGCCCTAGAAATTGTGAGAATTGTTAGGTCTTAATTTTAGCCTGTGAGCGTGTAAAACAAGGTACTTTTTGTCATTGTGAAAATTCTCGCTATCAATCATAATATTTTAACGTTAGACATCATATATATATATATATATCCAGATAAATAAATCTTACTGAAATATATAACTAATACGAGATTGTTGCTTGTCATTCATTTGCATTTTGTAAATTTAATTCGTTAAAATTCCGTAATATTTCGTAAAAAAATTCATATAATAATCAGTATTGATACAGGATCACAAATGTAAATTTGCAGATTATCGATGACAAAAGGTCTCAAAATTACGCTCGCAGCGAGATATAGTTTCCTTGCGATAAGAAAAAAGCATATTGATATATTTAATATTGCGATTTTAAAATGACAGTCTCTTAATTATTATATGCAGATTTTGCGGGAAAACTACACTACAACTATCACAATGAGTGGCGAAGGATTTGACCCATGCGAGTGCATGCGACATCACATGTCCATGCAGCATCTACTTTCTATCGTAAGTTGCGAGAGGGATAAAAGGCGAGAGTTGTAATTAAGTGTTGTTGCGATAAAACCGCGGTCGATGACGAGGTGCATGTTTCTGCGAACGTTTGGGTTTAGGCAAAAACAATAACGAAATTTTTTTTCACAACTTTTAAAGCAATGCGATCTCTTCTGTTTAGTTGGCAGAAATTTTTTTATTGCGCCACGCAGTTATATAAAATCGCTTCAATTACGTAAGTTGATTGTTGGTGCACGATATTATATGAATCGAATATATGGAGTCTTAAAGAGACACTCATGCAAAAAGGATTTATTTACTTTAACGGATAAATTTGTTCAAGTTTGAATACAAATTATAACGAATAATCCTTGTAAATGTTAAAATATGGAAAACAGTACTCGAAACATATATAAATATAAACAGCTTATATGTATATATATAAACAGCTTTTTTACCTAATAAATAAATATCGATACGTATGTTACCAAGTATCTGTACACAATCGTCAAAGCAATAATGATATATTGTAATTTTTTTGTATAATTATCGTGCTTATTGAGGCGAAGCGTAACATCTGTGATATGTTTAAACGGAACGAGTTATTTACCTTATTGCGCATATTTTGCAAGTAAGCGATGTTTTGCTAAATTGTATTATTATTTCAGTTACGACAATCGCAAGATTATTGTTCGGATACCGAATGCTTCAGTGTTTCGAGAAGTATGCACTTTCTATATTTATTGTGTGCTGAATATTCTTTTAATTATAATAAATATATTATAGTTATATCCTAGTGTGTTAAATTATATTACACTACGATAGAGTTGAGCAAAATTAAGTTTAACTTTAATCTAACTAGCCACTTGTGTTTTTTTCAAAACTAAAAATGGATAAAATATTATTAGCTTAAACTATCGGTTACACAAATTATACACTAAATAGATATTAAATTACAATAATAGTATAACAAAAAATACGAATGTTTTCTTTTCAGTTCCAGGACCGCAGAACGTGCAGGAACCGTCAGATTTTCTCTTTACTTGTTTAATTATTGGCTTTGTCGTTCTCATGTTTGCATTTAGACCGAGATCCTTGCGACAACCGTCTAGGAACGTTATCAAGAGCAACAACGAGCCCGTAAGTTAATTTATCAATTGGCTTTACTAATAGAATCTTGAACGTATGTTTCTAGCATATATATTTGCAGGGTTCACATGACGATCCACCTTCGCCACCGACAGTGAATTGAAGTACAATATTATGGCATTAACGGGAGATCTTGTTATTCAAGATTTTATATCGGGATCTAATCCGATCTAACTCTATGCTAACTTTATAATAGGGGAAGATATGGTAAATATGTTATTACAGCACGGCTGTTGTAATGTGTACGCGTTAGCGATATATATTAATCGTATTTCTTGAAACATAACTCCCTACATATGCGATAATCTTAATTTTATATAATATAGAGCACTTTCTTTTATTTAAATTTTCTATTTATCTCTACATAATAATTATCATGTGCCTGGATTATATACACATGATCATAAAATATTTTTATGAAAACTTTCAGATAAATAGTAGTAAAATTTAACACAATTATATATCACTAATACGAGATCTCTAGCATTTATTCTGACATGTCAGTCTTTTACAATTAGCGGATAATACGGCGAGTTGCAATAATTAATAAACCGATGAAACCCGTTTGCGTGCAATAAGAATGCATTATAATATATATTCAGCATAGTTTAAAATCTTTACTAAAGATGATGAAAAGATCAAGTACCTGCAAATGGATATAGTCATCTAATAAAATTGTTTGCTTGACATTTATATTCGATATGAGAAAATATTTGATATGAAAATATCTAGAATCTACTAAGAATTACAAAAAATAAGTTAATGCATAAAGATTCTCCCATGTGTTGATCACATATACTCAATACGCAATTATCTGCTGTAAATAATGATAGTAAAATAATGTATAATAATTGAGAATTTGGGATCTATGTGGTTTGTCAAGACATACTATTTATATTTTTCTTTTTTTAAAGTGCGCCTACAATAAGAAATGTACATGATAAGATATATGTATATAAAATACTTTTTTATTTTTTCGGTATTATATAAAATTAATGTTCAAAAATTTAATTTCTTTTTGTCTACAATGTAGAAAAAAATAAGTATATATTATAGTTTTATAATATATTTAAATGCATTATATCATTTTATTAAAATAGAGATATCTTGTCAACTTTGGATATTTCACACAAATGTAAAATTTAAGAATTAGAGAGTCTCAATTATATATAAATAATAATTATTAATAGTATTATACACAATATTATACTCTATATATGATAAAATATTTTTTACTAATAACAAAATGTGTTGTTTAATCTTGTACATTCCCCATATTTCCAATAATAAAACTGATTCTCGATATAGCAAGAAAAAAATTTGTGTTTATTAATATATGCTTTATAGAAAGATAGTATACAAAACATGGGATATAAAATAATATATAAAGAAACGCGCTCATTTCAATAATTCACTTTTATTTTTATTAAAAAATAATTATATTTCAGATAAAAATGCTGCAGTTAATTATTCTATACAATATTATACAATACAATATTAATATATTCACAATATCCATGCGTCTTAATTTATACAACTGCAAAAGAAATATTTATGAGAGTTAGTTTAAACATATTATTATATCCTCGAATAGAAAAGAAAATTATATATTAACAGGTATTTTAGCATATTTATATTCGTAAGAAAAATGAGAGTCGATAATATTTATTGAAAAAATCGCAGATAAGTATTGTCTTTTGGAAGAATAAATATATTGTTGTAAAAATCATCAGACTTCAGAGCGAATAAAAATTAAACATGATATTGAAATTTGAAAGTTGTTGCTATATTTTATGATCAAATTTTTTTGTTTAGCAATTTGAGCTGATTTATATACATCATGTAATTTTTATAACTTTAATTCTTCATAGAGAAATCGCATTTTAAAATATATTTTTTTATTACATATATGGATTAGTTTTACCAATCACAGATTATTAATATTTTATATCATCTCCAATATGTACAAAATACATTGCACAAGTCAAGCTTTATTTGCATCCAATTAATATTAATGTTCATATATAGGAAAGAATCCGAATTATAAAGTATTGTAAAAATAAAATAAATACCATAAGATTCAACAATAGATGCACTATAAAAATCTTGTATATATTTTTGTACTTTTGGAAAATGATATAGCGATATATATTGGTTTCTTCACTATTATACATTTATATATTTACACATATATAAAATACACTTTATTTTATGTATATATATATTTACATGTAGCAGATTATTGAATGAATTGTCTAAATAAATTATGTATCCCAAAAATATTGAAAGGATTCTAATTACTTATTATAGGATTTTAAGATGGAATATATTTGAAACTTAACGTGTTTAGAAAAAAAGTTATGGTCGTAGCTTCTCTGAGCAATTGAATCCGTTTCAGAATGTGGATTTTTAATAGTGAAAAATTTTGTTTATTCCAATTAAAAATCATTAGAAAAAAAAAAAGAAGAGAAAAGCGGATCGGTGTTTAAAATCTTTGGGTGTACATATGAACACTTAATTTGTTACTTATTAAATGTCCAAAAATCTAAAAGGATCACATCATATATCTTCTTTCATTGACAAGAAAAAATACAGAATAACTCTTTTAAATGGCATTTAAATATTTTCATTCATAATCCTAGATATTATTTGCTCTAACTTTTGTGTATAAATATGATATACTTACTAAATGATATATCAGTCCCTCTGTAAATTATCTATGCTTATTGATGCAGTTTTGCCATGGTATTTCTTACTTTTTGTATTACTCCCGATATTTGTTCATATTTACCTGTCGAATCAGGTAAATTTTCGAAATTGATAACATCGCAAATATCTTTGGAAAACTTTTCTGATGATGGTAATTTATTATATGGGGAAGTACTTGGCAATATCGGTGTACCTAAGTGCACCGATTTGACAGAACTTTGATTTGTATTTAAAAATTTAGAAGATTGGATTGGAGTAGAACTGCATTGAGACATTTTTGTTTCATTGGAAACTGATGTGTTCAATCTGCTATTCAACTCATTATTAAATGATATATCAAGATGACACTGTGATTCTATAGAATCTTTGTTAGTATTTGAGCGTTCTCGAGAGATAGAAGAGCAATTGGATTGGGGTGTAACCGCTATACTGGAAAATATGTCAAATGTATTGTTTAAATCGTTTTTAAGTGACGTGGAACTAGGATTGGACTGTGAACTATTATCTTCAAGTTCTATCAGTAATGTTTTTTGTGTACTTTCTAAGTCAGATAGAGACGGCGAATTCGCAGTCAAGATTGTATCACCCTGAAAAAAGGTGCAATCTTAAGTTAAGGTGCATACAAAAAATATTACAGATCAATCTTTTAAAAACATACCACAGAATCGGTGGAAGGCAATTCTTGCGACTGTGAGTCTGAATCTTCCGTTATTGATTGAAATGATTCAGATGGTGGTGGTGGTGGCATTGGCACTGATTCTGTTGGTAAAGGTGGTATAAAATGCCCATTAAGGGACACATTTTCCACATTGTCTAAAAAAATTTTAATATTTTCTATTTTAATATGGTAGATAGTGAATAAAATTAACAACAAAAGTGAATAAAAGTAATTATCAAAATGTGCATGAAACATGCATATTTTGATAATTATATTATACCTCCTCCTGCATCTTCTATTTCCATATCACTAGGCATTTCTAATGTATTTACTATTGGTGTAGATAATTTCAACTTTTTCCGCTTATAACCGTCATCGGTTTTTTTACCTTGTAAGTGTAATAACATTATTTCTTTACTATGCATAGGTTGTATTTTTGGTGCCCAATATTTATGACTATCCTGCAATCAATAAACCAAAATGTGTTTATATCTTCAATAAGAAATGCTTTAAGTTTTTATGAGATAAGATCATTTTAATCAGGTAATATTCGCGTCCACTATATATCGCTTACATCAATGATACCAGGAGCACATGGCACATTAAAACCAGGAAAGTCATATATTTTTTTTATGTCATATTGATCTCTATCTACATCTGTAATGATTTCTCCCTCTTCTTCATTTGGATCAGCTTCCGCTACTCCATCAGAATTGAACAATGATAATCCAGAATGTTGTAAGCGCGCTTCTTCCAACCACCCTGGAGGGTAGCCAAGTAATCTCATTCTAAGAAAAAACGTTTCGGAAACGTAGAAAGAACCTCATTGGCCCATTAGATTGAGAATTAAATCTTTCCTTCCTTATTTTAATTCAATATTTCATCTCGCACAAACACATTTGTGCAGTAGAAGAAAAAATAGAGAAAAAAATTAATAAAAATTTAATATATATATATATATATACATCGTCGTGCACACACACATTAACTTGTTACAAAACTAAAATGATATATATTCTGTGTTAATAATGTTATTGCTGTCAATAGGAATATAATGAATACCGATTTAAAAACAATAGGAAGGAGTATTTCTCCAAAATCCAATGGATTATGTAATTAATATACCTATATATGTGCTTAGGTAGTTGATTGTCTTTCAATCCTAGAGCCTTTCGTAGTTTGTGGCTTAATTGACCAGGAATCATATGACTAAACCTTTGATCCTCGCTCATATGATACCGAACTCCTGTATTGTTTTTTATAGCAAATTCTTTACGATTTTTATTAATATTAGTTTGATTTTTAGGCAATGGACAGTCTCGCAAATTATGATTTCCATTACAATTGAAGCAATTTAGTTTTGGTGCGCAATCTTTTCTTGTCACAGAGACTGATTCTTCAGTAATAGCCTCATATTTCTAAGATGAAATAACGTCTTTTAAAGTATAAGGATAATAAAGATGAAAAAAAGATAAAATTTATTTTTGAATTAGAATATATAATAACATAATAATGAGCACATACTGTAATATTCCTCAATCTTATTGTTAGAGTATCAATAAAATTAATAATTATACCAATACATGTATAATGCTAATGCAAAAAATTCAGTAATGTGTCTAAAAGATGGAAATATACATGTATAAAGAGAAGATGACATACTTGTCGTCCATATGTCGGAACTTCCAAATCATTCATAAAATTTGGTTTTTTATCAATTGTAAACATTGATAGTATTACATCACATGTATCAGTTTTGTTTTCTGTGCTATCATTTAATGCACTATTGTCTTCTACATTGACAAACGATTCTTGATCTTTGGAATTATCTTTACTATCCCAAACTTCTAAAATCAAACTTGATACATTTATATCTTGCTCGTGGGATGGTTTTGATTGCACTAAAGTGTGCAAAAAATCTTTTATTTGTTGTCGATATTGTCTGTAAATATATAAAATTTCATAGTCTATAAACAATTTAGTACAACAAATCGCTTTATAACGCTTTTTTAATTCAGATGTGTTAATAATGTTTATAAAATATAAATATTATTTATTTCATAAATTGTAAAGTCTCAGATTCTATAGGTAAGCATATGAAAAAGCTGATTTATTTCAATGTATTTCACATGATAAAAATTTATACTACTTCTTGGTTTTGATTACAACAAAAGATTAGAATCCTTAAACATTTTGAATAATTTAATGGAAATTAAATAATAATTTAGTGGAATCTCTTTCTTCAATTTTCTCTCTATTCTATTAATTAAACACACAAGATTAAAGATCGTTTTTGGAAATTTAATTTATATTCATGTATGTCAAAAAGGACAAAAATGTTGCTTTCACGTGATATAATATATCCTTGTCAAATCAGATGGTACAGATTCCCGCGCACGTCTTATGTAAACAAAGTATAGAATATACAACAATTTTTCGCACCTTGAGGTACTCTCGTCGCGAAACATAACCTTAAAAAGGGGTTGCGGAGCACCGTCATTCGACGAGACGGACTGTAAATCTCTCGACGAGTGAGTTGTCACCTCGGTTTTTGCGTCGACATCGTCCCGATCCGATGAGTTCTCGTTGTTCTTCGGATCATAGATTGGATTGCCGTCGAGGCAAGCGACTTCCGTGTCGCAACTCGAATCCAGCTCGATTATGTCCGTCTCCGATTCTTCGACGGTGATCGTCGAATCTAAAGATATTGCTTCCATGCTCGGATTAAGCACGCGAATACCGCTGTTCATTATAAACCACTAACAGACACAACACACGGCGAATCTTTGGGATTTTCGCGCTCGATCCGAGGCAAAATGAAATCGACACAATAATGGCCAGTGACGCTAAGAACGAATGGTGTATGCGCATGCGCAGCGCGGTGTTGCAAGATGGAGGAGAAAAATTCTCCAGATAATTTTCATGCGACAATACGTCATCGATAACGTGATGGACTTTGACTCCTCGGAGCAGAACTTTTTCAGAATTCATTTAAATCATTCAACCCCACTCTTTTCGTTATTCTATGATAATGATATATAAAATATATTAAATATTATAAAAATATCATTAATATTACATATGTAAAATAGAATTTATTAACTTTGTAGAAAAGAGAAATTAGAATAAAAAAAACTTGTTCCAACAAACGTAAATATTCACATAATAAATCGACGCAATAAATAAATAATTTTAATAAAATTATTATCTCGTTTCTAATTGATAGAGAAATTTTATCATTTAATGCGTGTATAAAATACTAGTAATCTACAGAGTCGCGCATATATAAGAAATTCATTTTAAAGTGTGCAATACAAATGCGATCCTTTTTTCAATTCGTTTGTTATTAAAATTATATCTTTTACCAAAATTATATATACATGACTCTTCATTATTTTGAAGTAATTTGATCTTCTCTTCGTATCTTCCTGCTATAATTTTATTTTAAATTTAAAAAAAGTGAGATAAAGGGATAATGCATCATGCAATATGAATTAGGCAATTATATCATTAATCTATGGAGATTGTCGATTGTTCACACAGAATGAAAAATCGACATGTATCCTTTGCAAATATTTGACAATGCCATTCTTAAAAATACAAAAAGCTACGTGGTGCCAACAACGAATAGAATCTTGCAAACGTAATGGTTGGCGACACGCTATATACATGCCTGAAGCGAAACATGTCGTTAAAGCACATTATAAGGGTGAATGGAGAAACGATAAGAGAGAGGGCAAAGGCATAGGAATAAGCAGGTGTCATAAAAATTGCATCCCTTAAGTTTCTTTTTTTGGATATCTACTTAACTTTCAATCAATATTTTACCCCTTAGTCATTATTTTTGTATATAATAACTACAAGATTGTAATCTCTTTTCGATAAAATATAAATTGCACTCGTTTCTACCTAGTTTTATGATCTAAAAACGATATAAATAAAAATATTAAACGTAAGTATAATTATACGTTTTAATTATAATTTTCATTTAATTAATAATCACGGGAATATAAAAAGAATTTAAATTGAGTTTTAACGTAGTCACATTAAATGATTAAAAGGACTATTTTTTTATATCGTAATATCAACGTATTTATATTCAAGTCCCGATATTTCATTCGCTATACGGAATCATTCTTTCGCGCAGCTTCGGCTGGATGTACGAAGGTGATTGGTTCAAGGATCGTAGACATGGCTATGGTATTTTGAGTAAAATTTCGGAAGACGGTAACATACGTAAAGTGTACGGCGGTGATTGGGCGAAAGGAAGAAAGAACGGATTCGGAAGCAATTGGTACAGAGACGGCAGTTATTACGAAGGAACGTTTCGGAAAAACAAACGAGACGGTTACGGCCGGATCTGGTATAAATGCGGTAGTGGATATTATCAAGGCACATGGTCGAACGATCGTTATCATGGAGAAGGGATACTCATTCAAAGTACATATGAAAATTTTAAATACGACTTCACAAAATAAATTTGCTTAAAAATATTTGTCATTTTTTTTCTACTTTTAATGACATATTACATAGAGAATAGAGAATGATACATTTTTCTTCTTAACTGCTTGTTTGATCTTATTCTCATTTGGCGCATTAACTTTAAGCTCTCTTATTAATCTCTCATTCAAGCGCGAAATACTCTTATCTGAAAATTCATAAATATTTATCCTAAAATCCCCGTAGAAAATGGTAATCTCTACGAGGGTCAATTTATAAATGGCAAGAAGGAAGGTCGAGGGGTCTTCTATCACTTTGACAGCCATCAAGTACAGATGGGTCATTGGGAGAATGACATCTGTATCAATAGCACGATAGAGGACATCGACTATCACCGACAGTCAAGCTTATATCCGACATTATTACATATTCCAAGGATAAATAGCCAAGCAGTGCTGCACTTATAAGTGCATTGCGTCATCTCTCGTTTACGTTTTCTTTAATCGATTTAAACATACATGTTTCATGTGTTACCTATTCTTTCCGCATTTAGAGCGAACGGAAAATATAATCCGTGCGTATGATTTAGTAACTACATCCGTTTCATTTCGATAATCGCGTTCCTGTTATATAGCATTGATTCGCGCGCCGATAAAGTATGTACAAACAATAACCGAACATATTCGATTTTCATCGTAATCGAAATATAACACATCTCAAGTTACCCGCAAAATCGTGTACATGCGAGTCCGCCTCCCTCCACATCCTGATATTTCGTTTGTTTTTACGGCAATCGTAATATACATGGACGTAAGAAATACCTGGACAGATCGTAAGGTACCCTTTTAGACGCGGGGGCTGAGTCTGAAAGGGTGAGGGGTCCATCGTTGCGGCCATCTTAGAGGCCAGAGATTTTGCATCTGCTTTCACGTCGCGCGGTATTATTTAGTATTAAATATACAATATAAATAACAATAACAATTAAACAAATTAGAATACAAA